CACCAGCAGCCCCCCCTACTGCCACTGCCCCCGGTTCCCCCCCCCGTTCGGGTCCCCGTGTCTCACCAGGTTGCTTCGTCCCCCAAGGTGTCTGTGTCGTGTCAGGTTCCTACGTCTGTTCCAGTCGCTGCGTCGTGCTCCTGCCGGTCGCTTGCCCACCCCACCGTTCTGTGGCACCACCGGATGGGGCACCCGTCCCTTCCTCGTCTGCGCGCTATGTCTAGTCAGCGTCTTGTCCTAGGCCTCCCACGTGTCTTGCCGTCGCTGCCGCCTTCGCTTGCGCCGACGTGTCGTCCCTGCGTCGAGGGTAGGCTGCGCGCCACCCCTCACTCCTCCTCCCTTCGTCCGGCCACCGAGCCTTTTGAGACGCTTCACTTGGACGTCTGGGGCCCCGCCCCTCGTATAGGCCCTGAGCGCGAGCGTTACTTTCTGGTGGTCGTTGACGACTTCTCCCGCTACACCACAGTGTTCCCACTGGCGAAGAAGTCTGAGGTGACTTCTACGCTGATCAGGTGGTTGCTCACCACCGAGGACACTCGTGGTCGTCGTGTCAGCTGTCTCCACTCCGACCGTGGGGGTGAGTTTCGCTCCGGCATTCTCGCTGGATTCTGTCGCGAGCAGGGCATTCGTCAGTCCTGGACGCTTCCAGAGTCCCCACAGCAGAATGGGGTTGCTGAGCGCCGCATAGGCCTGGTCATGGAGATCGCCCGCACCTCCCTGACTCACGCCTGTGCCCCCCATTTTCTGTGGCCCTACGCGGTCAGGTACGCCGCGCACCAGCTGAACCTCTGGCCACGTGTCTCTCGACCAGAGGTTTCACCGACCAGTCTTTGGACAGGGTCCCCTGGTGTTGCGTCGCGGTTTCGTGTCTGGGGGTGCTTGGCTCTTGTCCGCGACACCTCCGCGGACAAGCTCTCGCCTCGTGCCGTCCCCTGTGTCTTCCTTGGTTTCCCTGAGGACTCCTCTGACTTCACCTTTTACCACCCTCCCTCTCACCGGTTCTTTGACTCCCGTGACGTCCGTTTCGAGGAGTCCACTCCGTACTACGTCAGGTACCCCAGTCGAGGTCTCCCGGTTCCTCCTCCCCCCCTCTTCCTGACTGCCGTTCCCCCTCCTGCTCCCCCGGTACAGCCTCCCCCCCCTGGTCCAGCCTCGTCAGGTGTGTCCCAGGCTACCCCTCCTCCTTCGGTAGCCCCTCCGGTACAGCCTCCCTCCCCACAGTCCTCCTCGCAGCGTGCCGCTGGTGCTAGCTCTCGAGAGGTTGGTGCGGCGCCTGTTCCTGTACCGGTTTCTGGTTCTGGGGGTGCTGGAGTTGGAGCTGGAGTTCGAGCTGGAGTTGGCACAGGAGTTTCTGGTTCTGGGGGTGCTGGAGTTGGAGCTGGGGTCGGAGCCGGAGTTTCTGGTTCTGGAGTTGGAGCTGACCCGGTGGGTACAGAGGACTCTTGTCGTCCGGGAGCTGGTGCTGGCCGCGCGGACACTGGGGGTGCTGCGTCTGGGGGTGAGGGTGCGCCTCCTTCGGGTTCAGGTGAGCCTGGTTCTGGAGCTGGTGTTAGTGCTGCCTCTGGGGGTGGTGCGCCTAGTTCTTCTGAGGTGGACTCTGGAGCTGCCGCTGCTTCGGACACTACTCCACCACCCCACCCCTACCCGACTAGGCACCAGGCTCGTGTTCGCCGTGCCCGTGACGAGCAGCTGGCGTTGGAGAGAGAGGAGAGGGAGTTACAGCAGCTGGAGGAGCAGCAGCAGCAGCTGGAGCCGCAGGAGCAGCAGCAGCAGCAGCAGCAGTAGCTGGACCCGCAGGAGCAGCAGTCCCAGCAGCAGCCGCGTTCGCAGCAGCAGCAGTCGCAGCCGTAGCAGCAGCAGCCACTTCCTCCTCCTGTCTCGGGTCTTCGGATCCTTGGTCTCCCCTCCCCTTCTCCTCCCTCCTCCGCCTCTCCTCCTGTCTACGGTCCCACGTTTCCTCCTCTTGACTCCTCCCCCGCTGTTTTCCCCAGTTCTCCGCCTTTGTCCTCTCCTCCTCCGTCTCGTTCTTGGGCTACTCGTCGCTCCCCTCGTGCTCGTCCCTCGTCTCCTGTTCCCTTCACTGACCTTCGTACTGCCTTCCTTCTTTCTAGTCCACCTCGTCCGTCTCAGTCTGTGCTTCCGTCTCCTCCTGAGTCGGCCCTCACTGTGTCGCTCCCTACTCCTGTCACTGACTACTACCGCACGTACCGTCCTGTTCTCTCTCGTGTTCTCGCCTCTCTTGTTACTCACCCTCGTGCCTCTGTGTCCTCTGTGTCCGCTCTTACTGCCGCAGTTACTGACTTTGCCTCTACCCGCCGCCTTGACTACGCCACCACGCTTGTGGCTGCTCCTCCTACCAGTCCTCTGGCCGTCGGGGGTGTGTCTGCCCTTGGCTGTGACGCCCTAGAGGACAGGCAGTTTGAGCTAGAGTTCCTGGCGGCCGCTTCCCCTCATCTCTGTGCCATGCTCCTCGCCCCTGAGGGTGACCCCGACGCCCTTGACATTCCGACTCCTCGCACTTACGCTGAGGCAGTGTCAGGGCCTTGGGCCTCTCAGTGGAGAGCTGCCATGGACGCAGAGATGGCCTCCTACAGATCCACAGGCACCTACGTCGATAAGGTTCCCCCCCCTGGGGCGAATGTAGTCGACGGCATGTGGATCTACAGGGTGAAGCGGCCACCGGGATCTCCCCCGGTCTTCAAGGCGCGCTACGTGGCTAGAGGTTTCAGTCAGCGCGAGGGAGTTGACTTCTTTCAGACCTTCGCACCTACCCCGAAGATGACCACTCTTCGGGTGTTACTACACGTAGCAGCACAGAGAGACTACGAGTTACACTCTCTTGACTTCTCCACTGCTTTCCTTCAGGGCAGTCTACACGAGGAGGTCTGGTTGCGTCGTCCCTCGGCCTTCACTGGCACTTTCCCTCCTGGGACCCAGTGGAGGCTGAGGCGACCTGTTTACGGTCTTCGCCAGGCCCCTCGTGAGTGGCACGACACTCTGCGTTCTACCCTCTCTAACCTTGGGTTCCAGCCGTCTTCTGCCGACCCGTCGCTGTTCGTTCGTCGTGGCTCCACACCGTTCTTTGTTCTGGTCTACGTCGACGACCTCGTTTTCGCCACTTCGGACAGGGTTGCTTTGGCAGACGTGAAGTCCGAACTGCAGAAGAGACACACGTGCACTGATCTTGGTGAGCTGCGCCACTACCTTGGCCTGCAGATCACCAGGGACAGAGCCGCTCGCACCATTACACTCTCACAGTCACACATGGTGCAGCAGGTCTTTCAGCGGTTCGGGCTTCAGCACTCCACCGTACAGCGCACACCTCTCGCTGTTGACCACAGACTCACTGGTCCCTTTCCTGACGAGCCGTTTGAGCCTAGTGGTCCCTACGCAGAGCTTGTGGGTTGCCTCATGTACCTGATGACTTGTACCCGCCCGGACCTCGCCTTCCCTCTCAGCATCCTTGCGCGCTTTGTTGCGCCAGGGAGACACCGTCCTGTTCACTGGACGGCAGCTGTGAGGGTGGCGAAGTACCTAGCGACTACATCAGGCGTGGGGCTAGTTCTTGGAGGGCAGCAGTCTGTCGTACTCACTGGTCACTGTGACTCCTCTTACGCTGACGACGCTGAGACTCACAGGTCTACTCAGGGGTACTGTTTCAGTCTGGGTTCTGGAGCTGTTTCCTGGCGTTCCACGCGCTCCTCTTCTGTCTCGACCTCTACAGCTGAGACTGAGATTTACGCTGGTACCATGGCGGCACAGGAGTTACGGTGGTTGACCTTCTTGCTCGCCGACCTTGGTGAGCGGCCGAGCTCTGCACCGACCTTGTTTACTGACAACAAGGCGTCGATCCTCCTCTGTCGTGAGCCGCGACTGGAGAGCAGAGTGAAGCACATTCACGTCAGGTACTTTCTTCTGCGAGAGTTGCAGAGACGTGGACAGGCTCGCTTCGAGTTCGTGGAGTCCGAGGCCAACACTGCAGACATCTTCACCAAGGCGCTTCCGCCTTGTGACCACCAGAGGTGTTGTGTGCAGTTAGGCCTTGTTGACACAGGTTCTAGTCATGCGTAGACTTGAGTTTATTGCCTGCTTCGTCTGTACACTTACTATATATACTTGTGATCTCTTGGACTGGCCTTGTGGCCACTGTTGCTTGTGCTCAGAGTGTGTGGTGACGTTGTGATCCACCCTGAGCTTTGTTTTCTTTTGGACTGGTCTTGTGACCGTACTCTTTTTTTTTGTTTTTGCTAGACACCCCTCACTTAGGCTATGGGGGTGTGTCAAATGTTGTAGCCTGTAGTGAGGTTTGTTTTAGGGGGTACAGAAGTTAGGGTTTGTCATATGTACCCCAACCAACATCAATGCAACACCCATTCCTCATTCTGACAAAGTCGCAGTCCCAACTGGTCTGTGCTGCATCAGAAATCCAGCTAGGTAGCTTTGGTAATCCCTGATGTCATACAACAGTGGAGCAAAGGCACACATCCAAAAGACCTGGGAGAACTTCCACTGAGGGTTGGTGAGGCTTATTTCCAGAGCGAAAATGAAAAAACATCGCACACCAAAATATGCAACAGAAAAGCCCCGGCCCTGGCCAAACTGATGTCCACCCACCGCATTTTGATTGTGAAAAAACGTACGGTACTCCTCGATTGGTATCTCTATGAGAGTTAATACGTAGCGTGACACACCCTCGACATTCAAGCTCACAGGAATGTCTCTTGCATAACTAGAGATGTTAGCACTGCAGTAACCCAAGGAGTGGATGAACTCGCATCACAAGCCACAAGTGCAACAGCCTGGGTCAACAGTCTGGGGAATTCACCCTCTACTGCTATAAATATCATGAATGGGATGGTCCCCATAGCCTATAAATCTTTAGCGCACAGCAATCCTACGACTCAAACCCTACAACTAAGCAGCGGCTCTTCTACAGCAGCCAGAGTGCCGCGGCTGCCTGTGGCATGCAGGAAGGTGAAGGAGTGCCGTGGTCAGAGGCGCTACATTGTGCAGCACCAGTTGAGGCGCTGCATTGTGCAGCACCAGTTGAGGCGCTGCATTGTGCAGCACCAGTTGAGGCGCACTGTGGACTCGCCTTCTCCAACACCATCGCATGCCAGCTGCCTCGCCACACACGGACACGCCTTGTCTTCCCCACACCGCTCTGCTGCACCCCACCTGCACCCTGCTGCACCAGCGTCCGCCATGGCCCACACTCGTGCTCCCAATCCCATCCCTGCTGCCCCTGCCTGCCATGCGCCTGTGCAAGCCCACGCCTTATTCCATCAACCATCACGCCGCACTGCGCACGCCCTCAGCCCTAAGCCATGCCCCATGGCCCACCCCGTGCCTGCTGCTCTGCTGCCCGCCACACCACCTTCACCTGCAGATGCGCTGCTGCCCCGCAGAGCGGCTCCCAACCCCCCGTGCATGCAGGGACGGCAGCGGAAAGATGCTGCAGAGGGCATGGGGCGGAAAGGGGGGCTGCCGGCAGTCTCGAGAGGAGGCTGCCTCGCACTCCGCGCTCAGCGGGTTAGCTTGCTCGCCTGCCGCTCCTGCACGCGCACGCGCAATTCTACCCTGCTACACGCGCTATTGGGGTGGCTGGGTGGCTGGCGGCTGGATGGCTGGCGGCTGGATGGCTAGATGGCAGGATGGATGGATGTGCGGATGATGGATGGGTGGTGCATGCACAGCGCGTCCACGACTTGCCCCACAACTGCTACGCTGGAAAAACAAAATGCTCAGCGCCTCGTGCGCCGTTCACTGGACCAGCAGCCCCAAAGCGGCAGCCGGCTGCAAAATAAATAGAATGGAGTGGCAGAGCGTACCCCCGCCTTCTTCCCGTGACGCGCGCGCGGCTATCAGTCCTTGGCGCACGAGCGTCTCTGCCACGCGAACGTGTGCTCCTCCAGGCCCTCGCTCACGTCGTGGGGCAGCGCGCGCATCCAGTCCCAGTCCGCGGCGACCTTGCGCAGCACGCGCAGCTTGGAGTCGAGTCCGAAGCAGCACGTGGCGTGCACCGTCACCAGCTCCGCCATCCGCGCGCCCATCTCGCAGAACCCGCCGAAGTTCGCCGTCGGCAGGTAGCGCACCGTGAGCGGCGTGGCGGTGCGCGTGAAGGGGTTGGCCTCGGGGCGGATCCAGTCAAAGATCTGCTGAATGCGGTGCTTCGGTAGCCTGCCGCGCACACGCCACGGGGAGGGGGAGGGAGGGGCGGGAGAGGGGGGGGGGAGGAGGGAACGGAGAAATAGTTTGAGTAGGAGTGAGAGAGCGGGGCCAAGCAGAGCTGGTGTGGGAGAAGCGGGCGCGGAAGCAGCGGGCAGTAGGAGGCAGGCGCGAGAGATGGCAGCATTGCGGCAGGGAGGGGCGAGTTGGGCGAGGGCGCTCACCGCTTGTGCCAGGCGATCCAGTCGTCGAAGAACTTGAGCATGCGCGTGTTGCTGCGCGCCGCGTAGAAGCCGCCGTTGCCCATCACCTTGCGCGAGTCGGCGTTCCACCAGTCGACGCTCATGTGCATGTCCTCGGGCGCGGCGAGCAGCAGCTGCGGCAGCGGGTTGCGCAGCCAGAGGATGTCGTTGTCCGTGAACACCACGTCGTACCCCAGCGCCAGCATGCTGCGCACCACGTGCACCTTGCGCCACACGAGGTGGATGTACGCGGGCGTCATGAAGTGCTTCTGGTCGCCGCTGAAGTCCTCCTTCTCCTCCGCGTCGTCCTGCCAGTCGAAGTAGCAGTGCAGCCCCAGCGAGCAGCACTCGTCGAAGCTCGCGTCGTCGTACGCCACCACCACCAGCCGATCCACCAGCCGGTTCAGTCCCCCCTCCGCTTCCGCCTCCCCCTCCGCGCGCGCCTGCTGTTCGACGAGGCGGAGGCGGTCGAGGAAGAAGTGCATCATGGGCGCCCACGCCTCCGACAGCGCCGTCACGATCACCGTGCGCGACAGCGACGACGCCGCCGACGCCTCCACCACGTTGTCGGCGGCCAACTTGCTGTCGCCGCCATCCTCTGCCGCCGCCGTCATCTGCTGCGGCGCCTCGGGGAACGGGCGATCCAGGTCCAGCAGCCCGCTGGGCCCGCCGTACTCCTCTTCCAACGCCGCCGCTAGCGCCGCCGCTGCTGACGGATCGCCGCCGGCGGCCGTTAATGCTCCGTCAAGCACCTCCTTGAGCGTTCTGACGACGACGGACGCGCGGGGATGGGGAGAGGGGCGGGACAATGGAGCAGATTGGGAAAAGAGGAGAGGCGCAGGGGAAGCAGCACGAGAGCCGCGCGAGCCGAAAAGCGCGTCACAATCGACAAGGCTGCGGCGATCAAAAAGTGACGGAACAGCAACACGCTCCACAACATAAAAACGCGCTAACAGCTTGCTCGAATCAATCTCAAGTGATTCACCACTTGAAACACGGACAGAGAAACGTGCGCGCAAGAGACGCCGTAGCGACATACCTGCATTTCGAACAGGTCGCGGATGGTTTACTGGTGAGTGGTTGGTCGGAAGGCGGTTGTTTGGCGGACGAGGCGGTAAGCGACGCGAGGAACGACTGTGGTGGTCTGTCGGTCTCGTCGAGAGCTCGTCGCGGCACGGATGTCGACGACGACGGCCACTCCAATTCCGGTCTTATCGCACCATTGCTGCGGCCAAGGTCTCGTATTTGGTTGCCGCACACGCCCTCGCGAGTCTGATCCAACATCACTCTCGCGGCCCTCGCTGGAACCGCCGCTACTCTCGGCTTCGCAGGGTGCAACCGGACGGCGACGAGCCCGAGCGACGCGACGGTGAAGACGGTTAGCAGCAGCCACAGGCGCGGCAGTCCAAAGTTCCGCATGGTGAGGCGCGGCCAGGAGGCGGTGGGGCTGAGAGAGATGGCGCAGAGCACGGACGCATACGGCGACGCGAAGTGCGACGACGCGGTGAGCGGGTGGGCGCTGCTGTGTCTGGAGGAGTGGAGCGAGTGCGGCGACCTAAGAAATGGGCTTAGCGTGGACAAACATCTACTGTCGCGCTCCAGCGGCCCTGGCTCTGTGCACGCTCCCATCTAGGAACCAGCAGATTGTCGATGTGAAGCCCTGCTGCCCGTCGTACTATGAGTCAAACCTAACTCACGCAGATGCACCTAGTAGTGAAGTCGTGTGCTTTAATTTTTTTTGAGGCTGAAACTTTGTAACTGAAGGTTATCCTGAGAAAGCAGAGCGTCAAGCACGGCAGGATTGATGCTGGCATGCAACTTATCAGGATGGTTGGTAATGTGGGAGCAGAGTTGACTCATCATGGGCAAAGCTTCAAGAAACTCTCGACGACAACCTCCGCACAGCTCTCCGCTTCCCTCCAGAATCAACTTGCCCTTCCTCACCGCCTCTTCTTGCTCTTGTTTGTTACTAACCCCGTTTAGGTTTCGGTGCCTTCGCACGGCTGTGAGTGACCACCACCACTGGCCAAGCCCGAGGAGGGCCACACAACACCACCCGCCGGAACGCAAATTGTGATCCGCTTCCTTGCCTCCGCCCGCTGCCACCTCCATGCTTGGCGCGCTGTTCCGCCTGGGTGCTGCCCATGGTCCGTGGATGCCTCGGCCCATCCATCCTTTTCGCGCCATACTTGTCCCCCCTAGAGCTGAGGGCGGTGAGCCGGTGGTGGTGGGCGAGGCACTGAAGTGGTCGCCGAACTAGGCTTCAGATAAAATATGCGAGGATGTAGGTTCGGCAAACGCTAGGGCTGCAAACGGACAATGAGCCTGGAAGAGGCACGGTGACACTGTGTACAAGCACGTACGTTGAAGCGCCAAGGCGTGGGAATACCCGCAACGGTTTGCGTTGTGGGGCCCCGACGCGGCTTGCCTTATAAACGCCTGAACCTGCCTGATTCTTATGGAACAACCCCTTCATATTCAGTCATGCATTATAAATCCTCTGCATGTTACAAACAGTTTGATGTGTAGGAAAGTTTCGAAGGTTGCAAAAGGCACCTCGACACGTCAGAGGCACTTCACATACCATTTACGCCCGGCTTGGACATAGATTGGGGGCGTAGAATGACTCTACCTGTGTTTACGGACCAGAAGTACTGATATTTATCTAAGGCCCTTTTGGCTTCGGCAGTTGAGGACCATTCTTGCCTATGCCATGCTTGCTGGATATGACCATAATAGAACGTCAAAACTCTGAACCAAAACAGGGCAACATAAAAACAGAAGTACTCTGTATTAAGGACTACTTTCTTCGTGCTGGGTGAGGGCTGGGTGAGGGCAATTGCCCAACCACCATAACTCCCTGCCCTGCTAGGCCTAGGGCTTTTCTATCACGACCAATCAGCTTCAGATAATGTGAACCACAGCGAGCACATAACACATAAGCACATATTATTATTGAATCGAGGACTGTGTCTTTTCCAATGTCTCTAAACACTTGATGAATGAGGAACATTTAGTCTAGTGTATCTCATATACCCCATGATTACCTATATTTGTTATTCAATACTTGGTCATGAAATAACGTATATTTTGGTTCTTGAATTTCGTACCTCAGTGTTGGTGCATATGTTGAAATCTTTGAACCTGGTTATCACGTTATTCTGCATGTGGCGAATCTAGCTATGCAAGTAAATAAGATAACTAAGGATGGAGAGTGGTAGATCCCTGTTGTTAAGGGGAGATTTACTGTTCATTCCGAACAGTACTTGCCAACTTACCCTTATCCTTATCTTCCTTGATTTCCTAGTGCCACGTGGCACTCTACTTTTCTTGGCTTCAATTCCTAGTCCCACGAAGTACTTTCCGACATTCGATCTTGCATGCTATATCAACCTTGATTGTACTTGCCATTATCAATCAATTCTCGTTCAACTCTTTCATTACTCAGTAACTCTCTCGCATATTTCGCCAATAGTTCTTTCGCCAAAGTCTTCCGCCACGTTTTCATCCTCGACTTAGTCGACCCCGCTAATTCTTTAGCGAATTTAGGCCGTCGGGCCTAACACTTGGTATCAAGAGCCTTCGCGGGGAGCGACTTCCAACGAGCGACCGTCGACGACGCCATCGTCCCGCAGTGCCGACTTGCAGACTTGGAGTCGTCGATCGAACATGGACGAAACCATGCACGCTCTCCCCCACGACATGGGCAACACGCTTGCCGAACTCATGCGCCAACTTCAAGAGTTGACGTTGGAAAATCGTCAGGTACGAGCTGAAATGCAACAGCTTCATGAATTGGCTTCTAGCCCCCATGGTCATGCCGCACCAACTCTTGCGCCCAACACGTCGACTGGCGCGGAAGCGCTGCCGGAACGTCGAAGCGTACCCAAGCCGCAGAAACCCGAGTCGTTCGACCCAAGTCAACGCGACGCGAACGTGCGGACGTGGCTCTTCATGCTGAACAACTACTTCGCCGCGAGCGGGGTGCAAGAGGCGGACGCGCAGCAGCGGATCGAGTACTCCGTTACGCTGCTGAGGGGCCCGGCCTTGGAGTGGTGGCGCCAACTCACGCAAACTGCTGTAAGAAGGGCTCAGACAGACGGACATCAACAGAGCGTGGGGCATGCAGCTGCAACTTCAAGCATAGGGAGTTTAGCTTTGGGTGTTACCACGGTTCCGACCACATGGGAAGGATTTGAAGCGGTGCTGAATGCTAGAAAGGCATAGTGCCAGCGTAGCGGAAACGTGTTTGTAGAAAAGAACAAGATAGAAATCTTGCATTGATCATTGAAAAGTAGAATGATGACACAATGTGTACTCAATGATGTGACACAGCAGGGTATATATGCATCCAGCTACCCCTCCAGAATGACCCATTCACACCAATAATGGTGTATCAATAATTGTACCCTCTACCCTCCAATAATGCTGACCTCCAATAATTCTGGCCCTACAATAATTGTGACAATTATTGGAGGAGCTGGAGGCTTATAAAGAGGACTACACTAAAACCAAACAGCACACTGGTATACAGTATTCGTTATACTGTATTCGGACTTCCAACACTCCCCCTTGCTGTAGGTTTTAGTGAATCCGTTTTCCTTGGAGGATGGGGTGGTCGAGGTGGTGTACCACCACAAGGTAGGGGTGCGCCCAAACCAAGCTAGGGTTTGGTGGTGGCCAAGCTGCTCGTCACTGTAGCACCTTTCTCCTCCCAAGCCTTTGGTGCTTTCAAACTCCAACCAAACCTCCTCCCTTGATGTTTTCCAATCCCTCCTTCCACTGGCGACTTTCCAGATCTAGATACAGCGCGTAGTGGCTGCTACTGAGGAAATAGTAGCAGCTCCATGACGAAATCTCCTCGTAACCATGGCGAAATGCGTAGATCGTCATGGCGGATTGCCCTTAGCGCACACCGAATTTCCGAAACCGTAGACTTGACTACACGCGATTGTCAGTGCTGCTGTCTTTTTCGCACGCCTCCTGTGCGACGACGCAAAACCGCAGTGGATGCGCGTCTGCGACCACTGCAGTCGCGGATGACGCGAATCGGTAGCAGATAACACAGGGTGTGCGGCTGGCGCGGAACTGCATTGGTGGGCGCACACTTCGCGCGACAGTTTCTCCCCATGCTTTGGCAATCATGCCAAGTTTGCTCAAACTTCACCTATGTTGTCATGTGATGCTCCCCATACACTCCAGCCGGCACACGGTAGCAGTCGGAGTTGCCGAACTCCATCAGCTAAAGAGTTGTGCATGCCGACGCACTCCAAGTATCCCAAACTCTGCACTCCACGTATGCAGAAATGTCCACTCCAAGTATGCAGTGCTGTGCACTCCAAGAATGTAGCGCACTCCAAGTATGCAGAGTTGTGCACACCAGGTACGCAGTGCTCCCATGTATATTATCCACTCTTCCCTCAGGTGGTACCGTTCATCTGCTGCAACCAATACCACAATACCACTGAAGCACGACGTATGACGACCGGTTGCATTCATTCTTCCTGCTCCCCCTGCCTATTTGGCAACCCTTGGTGAGTAGGTCTTCCCCTTATGCTTCTTGACTCCATGTCCCACACTTATGCCACCAGACATACTCCACACCCCACCTCCCGCCACCCATGTGCTTGTAGTGATCCGCGTACACAGCTACAAGCACATGAGTGAGTGTGGAGTTAGGTGATGCCATGTTGTGCCGCACCGTTCGAGGTGGCCGCACAGATGAGTACAACACCAGAATCCTTGACTTGATGATTGCCTTGACCAACCAGCAAATTGCAGGTGAGATGCTGCTTGCTTGGCGTGTCCACCTCATTTCCCACATCATCATTTTCCACTCCTTCCGAAATGGAAACACCAGTCACAGGTACGCCATCAGCTGTACCTCCGCTTCCTTCAAGTGCACTGACTTCATCAGCTACATCAGCTCCAGGTAAGTCTTGTTTTGCATATTCTGCTCCTTCGCCTTCGTGTCCTTCAATGGTCGAGAATGCAGGAACCGAATCCACTACGGACCTGTGGCCTCCTCCCCCTGAAG